AGACTTTGTTGAATTGTAATTTTATGTTTGTAATTCTGTACATTTGATTAAGTTATTGTTAATTGTTATTGGTTTATTGTATGTGGTTATTGTTCAGGAAGAACAATATTAAGGAGGGGCAGTGTTGCGTCAGCGAGGTCACGTGACTAGTGTCACGCCACGTTTCTAGAAATATCTTGTTCCTTCGTGAATGCCCTAGCATTTACTAGATATAGGGTAGTCTGGTATATATAAGATGGTCACAAAGTGACGGAATGTGTGTGTAGGTAGTGAGTAATTGAACTGCAGTCAGAAAGTATTGTTGATGTTAACGTTCGTTGTTATAGCGTTGTTATTGAGGGACTGTTGAAAATAAGTGTATTGGTAAAGTTATATTCGGAAAGAATAAACCAGTTTTATTAAGTAAGGACTTGTGTCGCTAAAGTTTCGTCGGAACGAATTTGCGGAAAATCAATTAACAAACGGAGACGTAACAATATCTAGTGTGGGTCTAGATTTTTTCAAGCCCACCCCCTTGGCTACGGCTCTGTCGATGCGTCAGCGGGGTTCGTTTCCCATGCTGGACAAAATGGAGAGAGCTTCTGTAGCTTTGCAAGACGACAGCTCTATTTGGAAATGGACAATTTATAATTGTTTGTTTGTAGTTAAGCGCAAAGCTACATATTGGACTATCTTTAAAGGTTCGAAGTTGAAATTGTCTATTTTATTGAAAACTTTGAACTATAATATTTTATTAAATCTGATGATGTATGTAAATCCAGGTGTTGTGTCTTATTTTTAGTAAAAGATGGGATGAGTACAAGTTAACGACCTTCTTTCATCCGTTTTACAAGGCTATCATAAATTACATACAAAGACCCGCAATAAAAATTTAAAAATGAACTTAAATATATCTGGCTATTTTAGTTATGAAAAGATAAAATAATGAGTGATATGAAAAGCGATCGATATTTGGAATGTAATAAATGTTACAATAATTAGTAACTAAGTATATACTGATTTAAAACGCGTTGCCGTAAGTATATTACAGATGTTAATATTCATCACAAAATCTCTAATCAGTTACTTATAAACTACAGTACTTATGTTAAAGGAACTTAAAAAGTGTTAAATGTTTTACACATCCATGTGTAGGTAACTTACTCTTATTTTACATTAAAAGTTTAGTGACTTTTATCGTTAGGCAAGAACTTATCACGTATAAATGGCAAATGACATATATCCATCTAAAAGTAATAAA